CAAGAGATCTTATGCTCTTTCAGAAATGAACCAACTGTGTCAAATACATCACGTGCAGTAGTTGTCGTTTCAAGAGGTTTGCAAAAAAGAAACTCATCTTTAAAGTCGCCATCATTAATATACCTCACGTAAACCAGTAACTGTGAACAGTTTGCAACGTCTGTAGATTCATCAAGCTGGATACTAAATATTGGAAGTGCAGCAGATTTAATTTCTTGGATTACCTGATCAAGAATATCAGCAGACATGTCATCTGTTCTTCTGCGGACAGTGTCGTTAGATAAGGAAATTGCACTCAATTTCGTAACAAATTCGTCTCCGATCATAACTCGAACAATGTCTTTGACCGCTGGCAACAGTAAATCCTCAGCAATGGTGTGAGGTTTCATAGCTCTGGCGATTCTGAGTGCCACCAAATATGAAGCTTCAACGGCTGCTACGTTTTGTTTGTGGTACTTGCCACCAGTGTCAAGTCTGGCTTTCTTGAGTCCATCAGCTTTGCTTCTAAAATAGTTGGTATCCTTGCCGGCAAAGCTTGGATGCTTGCTATCAAAATGGCATTTTAGTATGTTTGGCTTCATAGATTCAGCTGACAGAACTTCACAACAAATAACACATTGCGGTTTCTCAATTCCTGCTGTAATTATTGAGGTAAAACCATACTGTAAAAAATCCTCACTATATTTTCTTTTCTTAATGTTCTTCTCTACACGATCCATTGTCATGGGATGATTTGCTAATGAAAATAATATATAACAATAGCTTTAATAATACAAAAGATGATACATGGCATAGTTCAGTCAATACAGTTCATTAAAGTTTCCTATGATTTACCATTCTCTGTGTTTTTTTTTTTTACATACCTGTTACTATCACAAGGGGGCAGTATTCAAATCAACCACAGCTGAATATAAAAAGACCGATCACCATCCAGATTAAGTTCCCATGGTACAAATTTTTTTTTTGCAGTAGTTAATGATTTTACAGTACATGATTTTACATTTACCCAGTAATTATAATTCATGAAGTGTCATTTTACCTCCAATACTGCTGCTTTCAACACAGTAGCTGCTTTTAACAGAGTAGCTGCTTTCAACACAGTAGCTGCTCTCTACACATGTGTGACTGGTCCGCATAAGTACATTATGGCGCCAAACCGTCACATACACCTGTATTTGTACGGGGTGTATGTGATGGGGTTGGCGCGATGTCATCACGCCGGGTACTCGTATGTGGGTGTATCTGCATGTGGGCAGACCCGCCTGGAGACGGATAGAGGAGCGGTGTCTCGGTTCCTAAGACTATCGGAAATATGTGTTTTCTGATGGTCTTAGGTGACTCCTGTGAAAGGGTCGTTCGACCCCCAAAGGGGTTGCGACCCACAGGTTGAGAACCGCTGATTATTTTAGGGTATTGTTTTCTGCTTGATTGGTGTTAATCAGACAATCTCTTTTAATTTTCAGTTTGGAAATTGTTTGTAGATGTGGAGATTGGGGGACAAAGATTTCATAAACAGGAGTCCCCATGTGGAATCAAACACAGATCCCAAAATAAATAAATCAAGGTTTACAGCAGTGTTTATTTAAAAAAAACATGTGCTAGTGAGACTCTCTCCAAAGAATATTGAGAGAAGTCCCATCCACTCATATTTATACATCACAGAAAGACTGGAGAAACTAATGCATAAACAACACATTAATAGGTACTTTATGTTACTAAAATAATGGACCTTTGGCCACTTTCTGCACTGTTTTCCTTCAGAAACTAAAAAGAGGGAAAATAAAGCAATAAAACAAGGAGGGAAATATCTCCCATAAATAAAGAGGAGGGGGCAATTTGGGAATGCCAGACACCAAAAGAAAAATATTTCCCATTGCAATGGGATTATTCTAATTTATCAAACTGTAGCCTTATATCTCTATACATCATCATTTAATCAATTCTACTCATCTAAGAACTGATTTTCCCACACTCAATATTGTGTTCACAGATCTGCGCATTTAAATTAATTTGGCTTTTTGATTTGTGACTGGCATGCTATTATGGCAGTTATTTTGTAATTGGACATGTCCCTCCACCATAAACATAAAGTAAAAGTTATCTATTACTAAATTGAGGGTTGAAATTTACAAATATATACCATGTTTCCCCAAAAACAAGACCGGGTCTTATATTAATTTTTGCTCCAAAGACACATTATGACTTATTTTCCGATTAGGTCTTATTTTTGGGGAAATACGGTACTAAATGCATCTATGTGGCTGACGATCTTAACTGGGGCTTATTTTGGGGTTAGGGTTTATATTAAGAGTATCCAGAAAAACCATGCTAGGGCTTATTTTCCGGTTGGGTCTTATTTTCTGGGAAACACGGTATATATGTGTGTGAACATAATGTATTTCTTAAGAAACTGAATTTATCTGAAGGGTTTCTAATTCTTGGTTCACAAAATAGAAGTGTTTCCAAGGCACTGAAATGTCTTGGAGGAAATTCACTAGAAAGAACACCCTGAACTGTGGAGGATACAAAGCAAACTTCATAAAGATCAAGGATAATCTATGCGCAGGCAGAGGTTTTTCAAAGAGAGAATTATGCTTGGTTAAGCATCTGTTAAGCACCTCTTAAGAGCTATAAGAACGGTCAATGACAAAAGTCTTTGAGGTTTGTATCTTGCCCTGCCATTAAGCCACTAGGTAGAAAACCTTTTATTGGTATAATGGAGATCTATGTACAATGAAACTAGGAGAAGTGTTAAATAGGCTAAGAAGGGATTGGTTCATTCTATTATGTAGCTGGGGTTCAGAAGAGCTGTAGTTATAATACCATCAAGTTATTTATGCATGTGTTACGTACTGAAGATATGGTTTTAAAAAGGAACAAATGTCTATAAAGAACCTGAACATTCTAAACTCTACATACTACTAAATCTCTCGTGTCTGTTTCATTATTTGTAACCTTCAACTGGGCAAAAAGACGCATCATAGGGCAACAATTTTTAAATCAGCGTTTTCGTTGCTATGTATATATATATATTTTTAAAAACTAGCATAGTATCCTTTCTTCAGTGTGACTGTCCCACATCAAAACTATAGATCACATTGTGACCAGTTGTGAGCTGAGGTCATATACCAGTCCAGTATCTGATTTTTTTTTAAATATAAACAATGAAATTTGGCAAGGTTATAGTCACTTTAGGGCTGCCAAGCCCATCTGCGATCATGAGATTGTCACTGTCAATTCTCCCTGCCAGCTTCCCTTAAGACAAGTCAATTGGGAATCTGGCAGGAAGTTGGTCGCACTCTCACTGCAATGTAGACCACCCACGGGTATTTCCTTTCTCTGTTTAGATAAAGAAGTATCTTTGAAACAATGATCCAATGGGTCGCGGTTATCTTGACTATATGAACGGTAAATATTATGATGAGAAAAAGCACTTGGGAATGGGAAGAAGCATGGCTGCTCATGCCTTTCTCACTTTCAGATATTGCCTGCAAAGTTTCCAATTTATCTTAACTGCACTGCTAAAGTTTTGAGACCTTGGATGCTAATCTCCTTGAAAACACAGAGAGAAAGAACTCTTGCACAGGAACAGAGCACAGACATACCACACTCAAGTATGCATCTCTGCTTCCAAACGAATGACCTTTAGCAGAGTTCAAAAATTTCTGCAATTCCCACCATCACAATAGCTCAGAAATCACCAGGGTTTGTCAAAGAGCACTAACTTGGGAGGGCTGAATTATATATGAGGCTATATGGGTCAGTTGGAAGTCAGTCAGGAAACCTGTTATCTAAAAATATCCAAAAGTCATATTGAGTGGACCTATATACGGCCCCAGAAACAGAAGTTTCTTTTTCTTTTATGCCAACAGAAGGGAAAGAATGGGGGGAGGAGGGAATATGCAACCATCTGATCTGTAAATAACTCAGGAGTACAGTATATAAAAGTGGTGCAGATGAGCTGCCCTTTACATAAAATATGAAGAAAGAAACATCACAATAAATGTTCTTCAAAGAGGTGGAGTAGAATTTTGGTTTGTTTTCATCTAGTGGGACCCAGGAAACATGCCTTTTCCATAACAGACCTGCTGTGGAACACCCTTCCCCTTGAGATCCAAGCAAGCTTTCACCTCTAACTTTCTGGAAAGCTGCTTGAAAGATTGCTTTTCTCTCAAGCATGGGAATAAGAGTCACTTTGGGCAGCCAGATGGGTGGCATATAAAAATAACTAAATTCATACATACATCTGCAGCTCTGGGACTCCATAGTTCAGGCGTTCCAAATCCGTGGCCCATGGGCTGCATGTGGCCCTGGACAGCTAGTAATGCGGCCCCACAAGATTGTAAACCTTAAACATTATATAGTATAGTTATATACATTGACTATGTTATATATTTTATATGCATCCCAAGAAAATTCCTCTTCACTCAACGTGGCCCAGGCCAGGTGAAAGGTCGGGCACCCACAGCATAAATGAATGTGGATGTACATGGATTGAGTGCTGGGTTATTCTTGATATTTTATTGTTTGTGATTTTATACTGTAGACAGCTACCCCGGGTTGTGAATACTGTACTGCAAGATGGACAGCCATATAAATATTTTAAATTAAATAAACAGTCATAAATAGTGTACTTTGATCCATAATCCAACCTTCTCAGTCAAAAATTCTCAGACAGAAGAATGGAGTTATTAGAATAGAGGAAGAAATCAATCTTCCCTATCAATACATTTATGTCTAATGTACATACTGACTGGGCTCATACAATGTGCTTAAATAGTTACATTTTTCTGGGTTCCCATATTACAATGAATCATAAACTAATCAAACAGGCCTTGGTTTATATGTCCTATTAAAACAATACTCTCCCCACCCTGCAATAAAATGAAGTTTTGCTTGGTATTCACATGCAACCACTGTCTTTAACTGATGTATGGGTTGCACAAAAAATAACCATGCATAATCTGGGGAGGAAGGAGAAGTTCTACTGTGGAGAACAGATTTCAAATATTTCTTCAAATAAAACTTTTAGAGCAAGGAAAAATAAAACGTTCTAGTCTGCCATTCTATGCTTTACTAGTTTCCTATTTAAAAAGATTTAATATGTTACAAAGATGGCTTCTCTGAAATGAGGAAAGTTTGAACTGGCACCATGCATTTTTACCATACCAAGGCGCTACCATCTCCTTCTGATGAGGTAAACTTGTATATTCATACAAGACAGAGAGAAAAACAGTAGAAGGGGCACCCATTTTTGCAGACTTCTTCCAAAGATAGAGAAATCTAAGGGATCTACTAACAACCAGCAGAAATCTCCTTTAAGGGGCATTTCGAATTGGGAAAAGTGCAAGAAGAGAAAGCATTCGAACCACTCCCATTTTAATTTGTATTAAAAAAAAATTAAGCAAGTTTAAGTTATTATTTTTTAAAAAATAATAACAATTGGCAGAAACGGTAAGAGAGATGTCCCAACGGTTGCAGAGATGATGATGCAAAGCAGAGCACACACCATATTCTTATTATAGGAAAGATGAATTATCCCCTTTTTTAAAATATCTCCTGCAAATCCAGGCCCCTCTATCAACTCAGCCCCCTCCCCTCAAACCCCCAGCCTGGTTTCACCTCAGACTGCATAGTTATTTTGGACCTGAAATCCTCTATGGTGGCAGTGTTTCTCAACCTTGACCATTTTAAGGCATGTGGACTTCAACTCCCAGAATTCCACAGCCAGCAATGCTGGCTGTGGAATTCTGGGAGTTGAAGTCCACATGCCTTAAAATGGTCAAGGTTGAGAAACACTGCTCTATGGGGAGTGAGAATTGACTCCTACGATGGGAATCGGAAGGAGCTTCCCTTCTCTTCTCTCTCCCTACCCCCGCAGGCGATCTGATGCCTGGCGGGCGGGAAGAGGAGGCTTCCCATTAAACACCCGGGGGTTACTCCCGGGTAAAAAGGAAAGCGCGGCGCAACGGTTCGCCCGCGTGCCGTTTAACCTTGGAGTGAGGAAAGCGTGGAGAATAATCACCACGATCGTTATCGCCGCGCGCGGGAGAGGCTTCGCCGCCCTTCTGCAGAGCCCGACGCGTGCCCCCACAAAGCCCTCCCCGGGAAAGCGGGCGGGCTCTCTCCGTATGAGCCGGAGCTCCGAGCTCCCGGGAAGGGAAATGAGAAACTCCGCCGGCCCGGCCCGACCTGAGGCGACTCTCGGCGCACG